AATGTTGTTGGTGTGTCCAAATGTTCAAATGGAAGTTATCATTATGGGAACACAACCAAAAATTATCATAATAATGATAATCACATAAACTCCAATTACAAATCCATAACATAATTGTGCTTTAAATTGATCATTGAGTCAAATAGAACAAGGGCTACTATCTAGAATGTTCTAAGATGAATCAAGATGAAGAAGTTCTTATCTTTACTACATCAAGATAAACAAAGCTTTCAGAATCTTATAAAGAAGAAGACTTCAGAGATTCAAGTGCTTCAGGTTGTTGTCCGTGAAGAAGTTACTTAAAGAAAATGAAGACAAGAATACTATAAGATGTTGCACTTAAACTTAAATCATATTCATGTTGGTAGAATCATGTAAACATAAGAGTTGTTGCTCATATTGTGTTATATCGTTAGTTCTTCATGTAAATTGTTTGTATACAAGAGTTGTTGCTCATAATTATGTCAAACAATCAAGACTTAATCATTTGTGTAATATGCTTAGAAAGAAGCAATCATGTAAACACAAACATTATTAACTGAATTTTGATGGTTGCTTGAGAGACTCAGTTGAGTCAAGATTCTCAAGAAGACTTTGGTTGCGATCATCATAGATAAAATCCTATTAAGAAAGACCAGGTTGGTCAGATTTCTTAAGGGGTCCTTGATCGTTATATCTCGTGGATATCACTTAACGTATCATTGTATTGTTTCTTGAGAGACTGAGTGAAAGTCTCATCTCAAGAAGATAATGGTTGCGGTCATTATGGGAAATCATGATAGGAGAGTCTAAAGAATCAGATTCTGTTGGGTCAATGAACATTATATCTAGTTTGGATCCCTGAACGTGTCATTGGATGTTAGTCACCTTCGGTTGCTCGTGCATATTGTAATCAATTTGGTTCTAGTGGATTAAGTCCTTGAGTCCAAGGTGAAATCACCTTGGTAGGGTGGACTGGACTTGCTTGGGGGTTTCTCAAGTGAACCAAGATATATCATGTATTCTTTACTTTTGCTTATTCCTAATTGTTTATGTTTCTACAACATATTAGAAATCATCATTTAACACAACAACGTTAAGAAAATAAAGTTTCTTAAGAATGGAAAATCCAATTCAAACCTCCCTTTCTTGTGTTTTTTCACACCTTCAGTTCATGTATCCTTGCTCAAGATCAATTCATTTGATCTGAGCAAGAAGAATTTGTAGAAATGCATTTAAACCCTAATAACTTTAAAGTAAAATTAAATGACACACACAATGAATAAATTATAGCTAAATTAGGGGGAAAATGAGTGGAACAAGACGAAGAGAATGGTATCGAGTTTTGATGAAAAGGAAACTCATATCTACCTTTCCCAAGTCAGGTTCAAGGTCCGAAAATGTTGGAATTGAGTTGGTGCTTAGAGGTCACAATAAGCTTCTATAATGCTTCAGGTATCTTCAGATAAGCCAATTATGGATTTTGGGCAAAGAATTTGAGTCAAAAAGAAGAGAAATAAGGTTTCGATCTTCTAATTTTTGGAGGTTTTGAGCTTCAAAGTTGTAGAGATTTTTTGGCTTTCAAAGCTTGGTTTTCAGTGTAGAATGATCCTTTATTTATAGGAGAATGAGTGAGGTCATGGTACGTATGAGAATTACTTTTCCATCATGTGAACCAATTTGGAATTTTCTAGATCTAAAACTGTGTGAAATGAAGCATGGATGTGTGACTTGAGCACTTTTCAGGTCATTTTGTGTCATGGTGTGATGTGTTTTGTTGTTTAGAAGAGTTTTGCACATGATTTGGTGGCCCCAAGTGAAGAATGCACATGCTTACTGATTATAGGTAATAGGAAAAACAGATTCCAGGTCACCATGTTCAAGCTTATGCCAAATGGAATTCCCTAGTGCATTTTATGATTTTTCTTGAGCCAAATGTTCCTTTCATGGAAATGAAGACAATGCAAAAAGAACCAACTCAAAAAGATGAGTGAGTTGAAAATGGAAAGCATAGAAAGTTGAGGTTTTACCACTGATTTCTAGGCCAGACATTAGGTCAAACATGTTATAAACTAGTTTTGGGCATAAGTGGCCTTGGAGATTTGAGATCATTAGAGCTTGAATTTAATTTTGACTTCTGAATGAAAGTATTAGAGGACATATTTATTGAAATTTGAAAAAAAATAAGTGCCCATAAATTGTGAAAATTGAAGGAGTTATGGTGTTTGGACCAAAGGGTATGCAACACTTGATTTTAGGCCAAACCACAAAGTACCAACTTGTCATTTTTGACTTTTTCTTGTATTTAAAGACACAATGATGATCATTTGAAATTAAAATGATATATCCTTGATATAACCTTGATTAATATTTTATTAAAGCTTAAAAGTTGATGAAGAAGGCATGAAAATAAACACATGAACCTATCTTGAGTTAACTTGAAAAACAAGCATCAAACTTGAACTTTTCCTAGCCAAATTATGTTGAAATAATCTTGAGGTGATTATGGTCTAAGATTATAGGCCATGTCTTGAAGTATAATCCTTGTTGACCATGGTTGACCAATGTTTGACTTTGGGAGTACAAAACCCTAATTTGGAAACCACACTTGATCCACTTGATTCAAAGTCATACCTTGCAAAACAAGATATGAAATAAAGCATATTTTTGTATTTTGAATAAGGTTTAGTGAAATTAGAAAGATAAGAAAACATAAATGTAAGATGAAACACAAAAGGGTGCTTCGTGATCTCTTACACAACAAACCCAATGATATGAGGGTTAGGAGACCACCATGTTTGTGGTCTTAATGAAATGATGAATGAAATATTAGGGGTACAAATTAGGGTATGACATGAACCTAATGACATTTGGAAATCCTCAGATTCAAAAGTGAATTTCGCAAATCCTCGTAACAAAATGGTGGGTTATGGAAATCCTCATAACGAACCAAATGGCATCCGATAATCCTCGGATAAAAAAGGGAGTTACGGAAATCCTCATGACTAAATGGTGGGTTCTAGAAATCCTCAGTACGAACTAAATGACATATGATAATCCTCATATTCAAAAGGAAGCTACGAAAGTCCTCGTAACAAAATGGTTGTTTTTGAAAATCCTTAAAACAAACCAAATTGCATCCGACAATCCTCAAATTAAAAAGGAAGTTACATAAATCCTCATAATAAAATGGTGGATTTTGGAAATCCTCATAATGAACCAAATGACATCCGAAAATCCTCGGATTCAAAAGGGAGTTAGGGAAATCATCATAAGAAAATGGTGAGTTCTGGAAATCCTCAGAACGAACCAAATGGAATCCAATAATCTTCAAATTCAAAAGGGAGTTACAGAAATTCTCTTAAAAAATGATGAATTATGGGAATCCTCATAATGAACCAAATGACATACGACATTCCTCAGATTCAAAAGAAAGTTACGAAAGTCCTCGTAACAAATTTGTGAGTTTAAGAAATCCTCAAAATGACATACGACAATCCTCGAATTTAAAAGGTGTAGTGTTGATGACGATCGATCTTTGAAAATGAGGGCGGGCACCACACATGTCTCGTGCTATCATGAGGTTTGTTTTATGCACGAAGCATGATGATTGTTTATGATGTCGATTTAAGAAATATATAAAATATGATAATTGGCTGATGCTCACAAAAAAATATGATTATGCAAAAATATTAATTGGAGAACTAATCTGACCTAATTAAATTTCATAAGACATTAAATATGCTTTTTTTTGTGCAGAATTTAATCTAGACTCTTTGCATTTTTTTTCAGAGACGTTAATGGTTTAAACAAATGCAATTTATTGCAATCATTCTCTTTTGGATAAAAAATTATATAAATAAAAAGTTTAAAATTAAAGATAAGAATCTATTACTTTTGTATTTTATATCATTCTCTCATCACAATTCAATGTATTCATATTGTTCTATATAATTTAAATAAAAAATTATTTGAATAAAAATTTGACTAAAAACAAATAATACCATTTTTTAATTATAAATTAAGTTTAAAAATGAAATTTTACTATATACAGTAATTTTTTTTATTTGACTATAATATTAATAAATAATGTTCTGGAAAATTAAGGGTAGGGATGACAATGAGTATGGTTTAGGCAGAGTATTATAGTACTCGTCTTCATATCCACGATTTGAAAAAATCTCCATATTCGAGTCCAAACCAGTGTGAGTACTAATTTTCATATCCATACACGTATCTTATGGATACCTCAATACACGTGTCTGTATCCATTCACTCGCGTTTGTAGTAAAATTAAATCAATTAATTATAAAATATCATATAATTTAATTTTTTTTAATAATATTAAAAAATATTGATGTTATTGTTGAGTTAAGAAATAAATAAACACCTTTATTAAAATATGTAACAGATTAATAGCGATATACTTTTGTTTCAAAAATTGATAAAAATGGATTTTTTTTATATATTAATATAGATGGCATTATATAAATATGTAATTCAGGTATAGAGAAGGGTGGATATTAATATATTTGTGTCTGCACCCCATACTCTCTTATTTTAATGGGTAATTGTCTGTATCCGTCTGTATTTACGAATTTTTATTCTACCCGTTATAGATATTTTTTGCAAGTATCTATAGAGTATGGACCAAATTGCCATCCCTAAATAAGCGATAAATATTGACTAAATTGACATTCTAATTTAACAAGAGATTAATTGTTATGCACTGTCAGTGTAAAAATTTTTACACAATCAAAACATCACAACCACTTATAAATGCTATTATATAAATAATTAAAATAAAAATCAAATTAATTTATAATCTAACAGTTGTGATTTACTGACGATGTAAAACTTCTTTACACTCTGAATGTATTCCAATTAAATTCATTTAACAAAGCAATAAAATGATTCTTATTATAAATAGGGAATAGTTGTTGGTTCCATTTTCATTCGTTATCTTTTGAGTTAGCAAACTTGTGTATCTAATTCTTTTTCTTATTCTAAAAAACTTTACAATGTTGAAGTCATTGGCATTATTCGTTCTCATCTTCTGCACCACTCTTGTTGTAACTCACTCCCGAGTTATTCAACCAAACCGTGTCAATATTGTACAACAAACTTGCACTAAAACCCCATTTCCCGCACTATGCATTCAATACCTAAATGCTGATCCAAAAAGCTCCACCTCAAATGTCAATGGTTTAGCACTAATCATGGTGAATGTAATAAAGAGCAAGGCAAACATTGCAGTAAACAAAATCAATCAACTTACTAGAAGTATTCCTCCCAATCAAAAGGGGGCACTTATGTTATGTAGTACTAGGTACACTTCAATTATGGGCGATGTTTTGCTAGCAACTCGTGCTTTGCAAAATGGAAACCCAAAATTTGCAGTAGATAATGCAAATGACGCTGTTATTGAGGCCAATAGTTGTGAGGATGGCTTCTTTGGAAAATCACCACTCACAGCTGAAAACAATGTAATGCGTGATGCATCCGCCATAACATCAGCTATTTGTAGGTTATTGTTCTAATTTGTTTGACCAAAATATTTGAATAAATTATTTATCTTTTAAGATATTTTTGAATGAAACATTAATATTATATCTTATACTCATGTCTCCTTCTATACATGTCAGTTTATAATAATAACAAATTTATTTTACATATTTTTATTTTAAACATAAAATGCTAAGGTCCTTTTCTTATGTAATATAGTAAAAAAATGTTTCTTACCAATTTATATGAAAATTATGTGTCTAATAATATAAATTTCACTGAGAAACCACTTTGTACCATTTGAAAATTTTTTGACTTTAAAAACTTTTGAGTTTGACTCATAGGCAGGAATGGATAAAAAATACATACATGCGGATATTCACGGATAAAATCTATCACAGATACGAAACGAGTAGTTTAATAAATATTCACGGATAAAATAAATATATATATTTAAATATCTATTTATTAATGAATATGAATATGAATTTAATATTATCGATGCCTGCAGATATTTGTATCCGTTATTAAATTATAAAAATTATTAAAATATTACTTGTTCTAGTCCTATTTATAAGAAAAAGTTTACTTTTTAAAATATATTAAATAAATAATATATCTGGATAATATTGTCTAAATGCATTATTTATTCAATGTATCTAAAAATAATTTTTTTCTTATAAATAGGACTTGAGGTAGTATTAGTTTATTATACTATATTTTTTCATCTTCTAAAATACTAACCTTCTCATATAATTTTTTTAAAAGTTTTCTTTGAAGAAAACATTTATATTCCATACAAATTCTATTGACTATTTCATATTTAAATTTCTTCTATACTCTATATCTCATTTCAACAATTCTATCGTCCAACCAACCAGTGTCATCATTTCTACTCATCTGTTGTTCGTTCTTCCACCATAACTCCCAATCATAATATCTTTCAATTTATTTTGTTAAAAATGAAATGTATGGATATTATGCTTTTGGTGAAAATGAAGAAAATTAATATGATAAAATTTTGTTGTTAAATTAAGAGAGATTTGTATGGATGTTATGTGAAAATAACTTCTTATGTTTTTAAAAGAAGTTGATTTTTTTTTCAAAACATGATTTTAGAAGAAAAAAACGGTTATTCATGGATATCTGTATATATCCGCGAATATCTTAAAACCCGTAGATCATCCGTTTAACGGATACCTGTATGGGTATGGGACAAATATGTGATATCATATTTATCCAACAAGACTGACATAAATATCATATTATTTGTCCTCATAGATATCTATTTACATCCCTATTTATAGATAATGTCAGGTGGACAAGAGCTAAAGGTATTATTGTAATCTGGATCATTAATATCTCTATATATACTTGTAGCAAATTAATAAGACGAAACTATAATTGTTCTATACTCGTAGAGGTGGACAATTTGTCCAAACTTCTTAAATAAAATTTGCATGTGTTTCTCTCTACTCTAATTTATAATCACGTTCTTGTTCCAATAAAAACTAATTTATTTTTTATACTACTTGAAACTTACTTAAGTAACATTTGCACTTTTGAGAAAAAAAAATAACATTTGAACTTAAAGAATGAAAAATGTGAATGTGTATGAATAAATTCATGTAAATTGAAATAGTAAAGATTTCCATTTAATACTCACACTTTTTTCTTTCCATGGTAAGTTCTTTTTCTTCAACACTGAATTTTATCAATTCAGTTCTATTTCATTCTTGAGTAAATAATTCTATCTGATTTAGATATATAAATATAACAATTCTTTGTGATGGACAAGCAATGAGATAAACAGTCTGCATAGTTGGAGGCCTAGTGAAAGAAAATTTTAAGTTACGTTTGGATAAAAAAAATTTCAAATGCAACTTGCACACTTGCATTATATCCGAGCTGACTTAAGCATAAAATAAAACGTGTTCAAGATTTTCCTTTCGTGCTCTCGATGAAATATTGCATTACATCAAATTTGTATAAAACTGACATAAATTAAATTTATATTCACATTACAATTTCTTTCTCTTTGATAAGATCCGTTGGAAATCATTTATATTTTGAAAATATCTGGAAATATCTTTTTATATCTTTATTATAGGGTATTTTAGTATTTTATTATATCCTAATTTTGTGTATAAATAATCTAATAGTAGATAGGTCAATGTAATTCATTATTCATTATTCTGTAGTCGTCATTAAATATTTTTTTTTTTGTTTTTCATCTCTCCTTGTGCACCAACAATTGGTATTAGAGCCTGGTTCGAAATCCACGGGGAAACGGGAAACACAAGTGAACAGTGAGGTATTATTGAGAATCGTTTTTCTGATTATGTGGAATTTGGGAAACACTTTTAGTGAATTTTTGAGTGAATTGTACAAGATTGAAGATGAACAGAAACAGCGATATAAATTCCAAGCTTCCAGTGTTTGATGGTAAAAACTGGAATCGTCAAAAGATTCAGATGCGTGTGTTGTTTGGTTCTCAAGATGTGTTAGATCTTCTCACCGATGGCTATGCTCCGTTAGCAACAGACACAACAGAGGCTCGGAAGATTACGCAGAAGGCGCTAAGGAAGAAATAATAGAAGACATTCTACATCTATCAATGTGTAGATGCGAATGTGTTTGAGAAGATTGCTGACTCTGAAACAGCAAAGACTGTGTAGGACACACTAGTCAGATGTTACGGTGGTGATGCATCAGTGAAGAAGGTGAAGCTTCAGTCTCTCAGAAAAACAATATGAGAATCTCAACATGAAGGACAACGAGAAGGTTTCTGAGTACATCTCTAGAGTGATTTTGATCACTAATGAGATGAAAGCTTGTGGAGAAAATCTTCCTGAACAAGTAATCATTGAGAAGATATTAAGATCTTTAACTTCTTAGCTTGATTACATTGTGGTAGCAATTGAACATTCCAAATATCTGAGCACCATGAGAGTTGAAGAGTTGCAAAGCAGTCTAGAGGGGTATGAGTTACATATGATTGAGAGAACTTCTGAGAGGGAAGTAGAGCAGCAGGCTCTGAAAGTAACTTCTGGTAAGAAGTATCAGAAGTAGACTTGGTCAGAAGCCAGGAATAAAACTAATGATGATCAAAGGTCAGAAGCTTCAAACTCTGATAGACATAAGAATGTCCAGAAGGGAAAGGAGAAGTCTGACAAGAAGAATGTTCAGTGTTACTATTTCAAGAACTTTGGTCACTATGCCAAAGGTTACTGGTCGAACAAAGAAAGGAAGTCAAAAGAAGCAAATATAGCGAGAGGAGAGTCCGATGATGAACCTGTACTATTGTTGGCTTCTAAACTTGATAATATGAATCCATCAGAATGGTGGTATATGGAAACAGGGTGTTCATCCCATCTTACTGGAAACAAGAAATGATTGGTTGATTTTGACTCTAGGAAGAGTACAAAGATCAGATGTGTTGATGATAAATACCTCAATGAAGAAGGTATGGGAAATGTCAGAATCATTCTAAACAATGGGAAAGCAGTAGTGATCCAGAATCTATGGTATGTACTTGCCATGAAAAACAATCTGATGAGTGTGGGACAACTGATTGAGAAAGGTTTTTCGGTTACCATGAAGGACGGTCTTCCGAAGCTGTATGACTATAATTAGAAGCTGATTATGGAGTCAGAACAGGGAAGGAACATAACATTCAAGGTGAATGTTAGAACTGCATACTCTGAATGTCTTAGTGCAACAAGTGTTGTCAAGGAGAGTGAGTTGTGGTACAGAAGATTTGGTCATCTGAATTTTAGAAGCTTAGGGCATCTGAAATCAAAGAAGCTGGTACATGGAATTCCTACAATCAAGAAGCCTGAGAAGTCATGCAAGGTTTGCATGGAAGGGAAGCAACCAAGATTGCCATTTGTATTATAAGTAGCTCCAAGAGCAAAGCATGCCTTGGGAGTAGTGCATTCTGATTTCTGCGGTCCATTTCCAGTAGCATCAACGGGAGGGAATAAATACTTTGTGCAATTTGTTGATGAGTTCAACAGAATGACATGGGTATCTCTCATAAATTTCAAACACAAGGTTTTTTCTGAATTCAAGAAGTTCAGACTGAAGATTGAGAATCAGAGTGGTCAGACTCTGAAGATTCTTAGAACTGATGGTGGTGGTGAGTATAACTCCACATAATTCAGAAGGTTCTGTGAGGAGAATGGAATTGAGCATGAGGTTACCGCTCCCTATACTTCTCAACACAATGATCTTGCTGAAAGAAGAAATCGTACTTTGCTTGATATGGTGAGAAGTATGCTGAAAGAGAATAAGCTTCATTATACTCTGTAGGGAGAAGTTGTTGCCACTGCATGTTATGTGCTCAACAGATGTCCAATGAAGTGAAGGGGTGAAAAACACAAGAAGGGGGGGTTGAATTGTAAAACTGAATGGTCTTAAAGCAATTGACAAGATATTTTTATCCTGGTTCGTTTGATCTCAAACTACTCCAGTCCACCCGTCAAGGTGATTTCGCCTCTCTCCAACGAGGTCTTAATTCACTATATTCAACTGAATATTACAGACTGCTTTAACAACTGCTAAAGCCTTCTTGATTCAAACCACAATCCGGTTTGTCAAGGCAACACTTTCTTACAAAGGTATAAAACAATGTGTGTGAATGTTTTCTACAAAACTTTATCACAACTGTGATGTATACACAAATGAAGCTTAGAAACTAGATTGCTAAACTGTAATGGAGTATCAGAGTTTGTGGTTTAGCAAAACTGGTAGATGAAGATTATGATTCAGCTTTGTGCGTGTAGAGATTTGGAGAGCATTAGCCATTATAATCTTCGAAGCCTTGTTTATATAGCACTTGAGAAGATGAACGTTGAATGCAATATTCTTGATTCAATGCTAATAACAAGCTTTCCTTTTTGAGCAGATCTTGTCTGGAATGAGGCCGTTGGAATTGATTAGCTTTCAATGCACAGTACCGTTGCTTCTTCAATGCACGTTCTGGCTTGGCTCATTCTGATTCTGCTTCGCTGCTGATGAACTATTGTGTTTC